AAGAATAAATTGCAATTCTGTTTTGACAATTCTGTTTTCACAAACATACTGATCACGAAGTACTGTAGCCAATGTTATTTTTTCCTATTGTGCTGATTTAACCCAATGTGATTAGTTCATAATTCAACATATTGTGTGAATCCAGAAAATTAGTTTTAAGTAAAATGTGATTATACTAATAATACAGAAGTATATTGTATAAATACAATGTGTAAGAGGATAGACAATCATTTCAGCAGTCTGTAATTTGTGCCAATTCTTACATTACTTTTAGCTTTAAAGTATTAGAGAATTCTTAGATTAAAAGGAGACAAAGATAATCTCAGAAACCTGGAAAAGAGTATTGTTTCACATAGACTAATTATTATAGACATATAATTGGATTTTTAAATAAGCTGAGTAATAACTTTTGCTATTCAGATCAGATCAGGTATGAATTAAAAAGCCTCTCCTTGTCCTAGCCGCAGTTCAACTTCAATTCAGAATTTTAAGATCTTTTAATTTGTATAAAGGACTCCATTTCCCAGGACTCAGCTTGTATAGTCTTTTGAATTAAATATTTGCATTTTATAGTGGAATATAGTAACTTTTACTTTCTTCCTTGTATCAAAATAAAAAATATATTTTGGAATTTGTATTTTTAGATATTAACGTATACCCGGGATTAGCTGTGTTTTTTCAAAATGCTTTGATATTTTTCAGGTAAGTAGTAATGCCTAAAGAATTGAATGAGTAAGTTAAAGTTAATATTTAGAATTGTTAATTCAGACAGAAGATTCTCCATCACTGCATATCAAAATTAAAAGTTAAGTAAATATTAAATCTAATAATAAAACAGGAAATTTTAAGCAAATAATTTAAAAGGGGCATATACTAGGCTACCGCAGTGTGGTATTTGCAGGGCATTAGATTTCCTGCTACTATCATTTGATAGGTTAGGTAATAAATCCATTTCTAATGTCAATACTGCTGGTTAGATTTTCAAAAACAAAATTACCACCTCATAGTAGAATAGCTTTCCTAGTCTCTATGTCTGATCAAACATCTGGAGAACTGCTTTATTCAGACATACAAAACAAAGGCTGCCTTGATCAAAGGAAATATATATAAGTTCAGTTCTGTGATAAAGTCTCCTTCAACTTGTGTCCTTGAGCATTTATCTGAAGACCCATGCTTTGCGCAAGTGTCTTTTAGACTTTAGTTTTTAAATAATCAAGTAGTTCTCAAGATGAAACCAGAAGTACATGTTCTCTTTTCCTTTGTCTCCAGGATTTATTCCACTAGACTTTGCTCATTAAGGGAGTCTATATAGACAGTGCTATATCTTATCAAACTTGTGACTAGTACTATTATTATCACAGTTAAAGATTTGCATAGCCTTGTTTATATATGCAGGTACATATAGAAAGAGGTTTTTACTGTTTAAAAATCACAAGGTTTTTACTGTTTAAAAAAAACTGATTACACAACCTTCCTCTCAAGATGGAAAAATTAAACAACATCTTTGATGGGTGCTTCTAAGGTCATCTTTGAAATGCCCACCAATAACAATGCCACACCAGTTCAACACAATTGAGGCCAGAAGGAAAGGTGATTAGGCACAATTTCACCAATAAACCTGAGAGGTTAAATATTATTTACCCTCCCCTCCCCCTTAACTGTTTCCATTCAAGCAGTTATTCATTAAAACACACAACTGAAATCTGTATACATTTTAAGAACGGCCCTTTGAGTCTGTTGACTTTATCTTCCTTTTCTTTTCCATACCTTTTGGATTTTAAATGATAGAAGCAGTATGCTTACAGAGTGCTTAATATATTTAGCAACTTTTAAAGCCATGATGAAGTTTCTTACTGAAATGCTTTCTTTTAAAACAGTAGTTAGATTAACAGGCAATGTGGCTACATATCCCTCAATGTGCTTTCACAATTTCTTTATTTTGTTGAATTCCTTTTAACATTAAAAGAGTGCATTGTATATCTTGTTATTTTCTGGAAATGATAATGCATTCCATTAGAACATGGGTGTTAAACTTGCAGCATCACCTTGCCGTCATGAGATGTATCACAATGTTTTTTCCCTTTGTGGAGCTGGGGTGGGCGTGGCCTGTGCGTGATGCATCCGCCCCAAGGGTTTGACACCCCTGCATTAGAGGGAAAAATAAATACTGACAATTTAATTCAGTTAAAAAGGCTTTGTTGGTGTGCTACTTTTCCACCTTTTAAAAAGTACTATTTGAAAAGATAATGCCAAAGCACTGGATACTGGATTATATTGGATTTAATCCATTATTGCTATAGCTTGTCATATGCTTTTGCGTTTAAAACTAGTGATGGACCAATTAATTGAAATATATGCTAGTTTTTATGGTGCCTTTTTACTGAAGAATAAAATGATGTTTGACTTACAGATCTAAATTTTTGTTTTTGTAGTACTCTTATCTACAAATTTGGAAGAACAGAAGAATTGTGGGCATAAGAATCCAATTTTCTTCATCCTGCATAGTAACTTTTTATGTAAATATAATTTACATTTTGTTTTTATTTTGCCAAGTTCATTGAATTACACATATTGTACGTTTATTTTTTTTAAGTGAACTGATTTTAGGATTTTGTTCCAAATTTTTAGTAGAACAAATTTGTTCATATGTATATATTATGGTTATCTGTAATCTATGACCCTAGCCCTTTATTGCCACTGGCATTCTTTTGTTCTGATGATACATAGGGAATATTATAAATATATAGGATTTTCAAAAACACCTGCTCTTAAGCACAAATAAGCTTATACCACCTTTTCAGATGGTATCAGCCCAGAGGCAAAGATTTAGTGATGGAAAAATGAGAGACTGAAATTGATCATGAATAATATCTGCAAGATTCCATCATTATATGGTAATGCATGACTACACCTCTTTAAGCTTCAATTTTTAAAAAACGATTGTGTAGACGAACACCATATTCCATAGTGTTGCTTCATATAGTACTAATTTAACACGTTTGTGAATAACCTATGTTACTGCAGATGCACTAAGAGCTTAATTTTTTTTAGCACGGCATGCCTTAAAATGGGATGGTCCCTAAAAGTGCTGATAAATTTGACGTATCAAAAATCAATAAGAAATTTTACAATATTTAGGCATTTTGTTAAAGATTTTTTTATATCACTTAAGATTCTGTTCATATATTATTTATACAGAGATTGCAATTATTTTAATGCAGAATTGTTGCATATTTTATATGCCAATGCAATATGCAAAGTAAGGGAAGTTTTATGTTAAAAAAAATTCAGGAACTCTCTATTTTATTGTTTACTTTATTAGGATAATTTCTTTGTATCTTTAGATGTGATCTTCTAAATTCCAAACGAAAACGATCAGTGGAGAGAGAGTATATATTTTTATTACAATGTATGGCAAGACTATCATCTTAAATGTTTTCCAATAAAATTTAGATATTTAATTTATATAAATGAACATGTATGCAAAGTAGTGACATATTAATCTAGACTAACTATATACTGAAAATTATGGCATGCAATATAATTTAAAAGTTCTGTTAAATTATGAATACTCAAGTTGCTCTATAGTCTGACTATAGAAGGTCTCCTGAAGCAGATATTCCAGCTTTCCTACCTTGCATGCCTTGATTTTTCCTATAGCTAGAAAATAAACCTGGTCAGGTAGTTATGTCTTAAAGACTTTCTTAGCTTTCTCAAAGGACAGACTATGAAGCAAACTTGACATGCTAAGTGTTGTCCTTTTTCTTTTTTCTTGGAGCAGACCATATTTCAAAGGTTAAACTATTTTGTTCATTGTTATATTAAAGTCAAATAATCAGAAATATAAAAATGCTTTGTTTTATATATTATATTATAATATAACCATATATTATATATGGTTTTATGAGACCATCCCATAGCAATGCTTTTTTATCTTACCTGTGTATTATCAAAAGGTACAATATAATTGCAGTAGAAATGGGGTCTCCCAAAACCCTGTCCATGGATTTTGTCCTTCATACTTGTCAGTCACGCTGCCTTTTGTTTGAGAGGGAAAGAAACCTAGCTATGGTCTTCAGAAAAGGAAAGAAGAGATGACGGTAATGGTTATGGCAGGGCACTCAAGAGGTGTACAAAATGAAGAGGCACAAAGTACTTCACCCTGAAGCAATAAAGCAGCTACATCCTTCACATGGCCTGTGCAACTGCTTAAAAGTTATCATTGGCTATGTCCAATTGGATGTCCATGCATAGTCAAATAGCTGCTCTCTGTGTTGTCAGTGCACAGATAATCTGGAATAAAGCAGTGTACAATGTGCTGCATGGGGGCATAATAGAAGGGTACTTTTGAGCTAATACTTTGTAAATCACCATTTTCAAATACCTGCACAACTGTACCAGTATGTATCACAAAGAGCTAAAGATTATATGAAAAGCTATGTCCGGATTTTTTTTAAGTGTTACGTTTGGTGGGCATATCATGGTATTGCAAATACTATGATACAAAGACATCTGAGGTATTGTCTGGACTTTGGTAAACAATTCCTTCTAGCATGCATTGAACAAGTAATGAGTAGAACTAGCCTCTAAGCCATTAAATGAGAGCCATGCTGGTGCCATGATTACAATACAACATTGAAGGCTAATTCTCCTCACTTGCCAGCAGTTTGGTTCTCACTGGCTCAAGGTTGACTCAGCCTTCCATCCTTCCGAGATAGGTAAAATAAGGGCCCAGATTGCTGTGGGCAATATGCTGACTCTAAACCAGGGGTTCAAACTCATGATAACATGCTACATGATGTACTTTTCCCCCTTTCGCTAAACCGGGGTGGGCATGGCCAGTGTGTGATGCATCTGACCTGCAGCTCGAGAGTTTGAACCCCTGCTGTAAACCACTTAAGAGTGGGTTGTAAAGCTCTATGAAGTAATGTATAAGTAAGTGCTAAATGCAAATATTTTCAAAAATTGTACAGCATACCACTCTTAATTCCAGCCAAGACTATTACATTTCAAAAAGAATTTTATTTATTCATAATTTTGGCACACAATTTTTTTTAACTGCTTTCTTGTATATTAACATTTTTCCACCAATGAGATAAAGGGTAATTGCCAATCATTGGCTGAATTTAACATTAGTACTACATTTTGTGTGATGTTTAACACAAGCATTTTTAGAGTTTAGTTTTAGCTTAATGCAGAGCTCTCCAGTTTTAGGAGACTGAGTATCAGATACATTTGAAATATTCAATCTTCGAACTTAAAAGATAAAGTGAGAAACCTATAATACCCATTAATCAGCCACGGTTTTAATACAGGTTCTGCATTTGATTTTATGGTTCTTCCAAGAAAGACACATATACATTATATACATACATTACCAGGAGGAAAACAAGGACAAATTATTTCTAATGTTATCAAGAATTTTAAGCAATTTTAATCCTTAAACAGCAGAAAGTACCATTAATCTTAGGCCGGGTGTCCAATTAAAACTGAATTCTCACTACAAACAAATAGCAGCATATTCAAGTAGTCCTTGACTTACAACAGTTCACTTAGTGACTGTTCAAAGTTACAATGGCACTGAAAAAAGTGACTTATGGCCATTTTTCACACAATTGTTGGAGTATCCACATAGTCACGTGATCAGAAATCAGATGCTTAACAACTGACTTGTATTTATGATGGTTGCTGTGTGGCGGGGTCATGGGTCAAAGGGGAAGCGATATTCACTTAACAACCATGTTACTAACAACTGCAATTAACAACCGTGGCATAAAAGGTTGTAAAATGGGGTAAATACGCTTAAATATTTCACTTAGCAACAAAAAATTGGGGTTCAATTGTTATAAGTCAAGAACTAGCTATAGTCAGTTCCTTCCCAGTATTTTCTAGGGTATAAACAGTACAAATGTATATACATTATAAATTCAGTGCAAAAATAGTATAAAAATGCCTAAGAACTCAACATTTCCTCTGAAATCACATACAAGTATCATGAAAACTATGAAATTATTTAAATTGGCAATTAAATGGGTGCCATACAAGGTTGAACACCTCAAATCTTGCCATGATAAAGGAAGGAAATCCAAGGAAGGGACAATCTGTAGTGATTCTGGAAAAGGGAAATATAGAAGTTTATCTACTGCAATTCTCAGTAATCTCAATGCTTGAGCAATTGCCTTGAATTCTATATACAGTACTGTTTAACTAAGCTTAACAGCAAGAAGAGCATGGAATAACACACCTGGAAATCTTCAAATGCTGCTAGTAGCCAGTCCAATTGAATTTTTTTAAAACAAAAAATACAACTGGACCATAGTCTGATCTGTTAAAGTTGATAGGAAGTCAAATGGTCACACAGCCAAGTCACAGAAAATTACAATAATTGAAGATGTGGTTGTTCCATGAATCTTGGAAGCAAGTTCCCAATTAATAAACAGGCTGCATCTGATCCACCAGACATAACTAGTAAAAGGACCTTCAGTCCATCATGCAGGGAAGTTCTTCTAATTCCATCCTGTTCAAGAACAGCACAAACTTACTTGAAACACATTATTCCATTCACCAGCTGCAATTGACAGTATTCAATTTTACATTTTTAAGATTGCTCCAAATTAAGAAGTTTACTAATGTAAACATCAAGCCTGAAAATTAAAACCAGGTCAAAAGTGTTATGTACCTCTGATATATTTAATAGCATTGGAATTTCAAGTGCCAAGCTAATTTTGCCAATAGCTAAATTTCAGGTCAAATCAAATTTCTCCTAAGTCTACCGCAAAAAGTTTTAATGAGGTAATGCTGGTGTAAACTATCCTTGATATAGGACAAAACTCTAATCATTAGAAAAATATATATGCATGAGGCAATAGGATTTGTGCTCTCCTAACATTCACACTGAAATTCATAAATATATTGATTCAGACTAAACCTATTGAAATATTAGGAGTTTCTTCCAAATGAATAAGCATGTGCTATGAAAATCAGTTTCTTAATTCACAGTGCTACGCAGACAGATGAGTGGAACTTCCTTAGCAATTGGGTGATCTTAAACAAGAAACTAAAACAATGATAGTAAGGAATAAGGTATAAGTGATGTAAAATATTTTTCATCATATTATTTATCAACTGTGTTCGCTGGTAAAACTTGTCAGAATCTTATCTTCTTCTGCTTTGGAGGTAACTGAAATAATGTCCCAAGGGTTTTCTCCTGCAGAGTTCTGAAATTCTTCAATTGTAATCATTTGGGGGTCATTAAGGTCCTGAAAAAAGCATGAGAACTGTTAGAAACCAATAAAAAATATATTCATATTTGCTATGATATTGAAATGCAAAATAGCAAACAGAAAAGCAATTCATAATATTTTCTTTAAGGAAAATTCTATTGAATTAAGGGGTTTCATTCATTTCATATAAATGTTCATACAGATTTATAACTGAAATGGGGTCTTGACTGCGTGTCCAATTTTATATTTAGAGAGTTCAGTTGCAATAAATTGGATTTTTAAACAAATTTTATCATTTCTAGGATGTGCCAAACTTTAAGCTAATATTTTTGCTTACAGAAATGGTGTCTTATTTGCAAGAAGGAAAGAAAGATGAAGGCACATGATCAGGCACTACTGTGGAGAAAAATTTTATGCTCCTGTGATTCAGATTGTTATTAATCTCTAATTTAACCATGCTGGAATATAGCAGAAGGCTGCAAGCATATTAAACAGTGATTTATGACAGTGACCTGCAATGTCTGTAGGTGCAAGAGCTCTGTAATAAATGGTTTTGTATGTCATGTCCAGGGTGACATTCAGGAAATGGATCAGACTCAGCTTTTTTTATTTTCTAGTCTTACCATTTGAAATATTTTGGCAAGAATAAAATCCCCAAATTAAAATAGTTGTGCAGGTTTTCTTTTTCATTGGGAAAATCAAAGACTTCATTTAATACTGTAGCTATCTCTACCATTTAAAAAAAACTTCCATTTTTTTAAATGGGCAGAGGAGCCAATTTGATGTAGAGACTGAGTTCTAGTCTCAGTTTAGGCACAAAACCAGCTAGTTGACCATGGGCCAGTCACTTTCAACCCTAGGAAGAAGGAGATTACAAACCACTCCTAAAAAAACACCCCCAAGAAAACTGCAGGAAGTGTCCAGGCAGTCTCTGAGAATGTACACAACTGAATGGAAGGGAAAGGGGGGAATCAAATACAGGTAGTCCTTGACTTACAATCTTTTGTCTAGTGACCAGTGGCTAAAAAAATGATTCATGTCCATTTTTCACATGACCACTGCAGCCATTCCCATGGTCACATGACCAAAATCTAGACACTTGGCAACCTTCTGGCGATCTCCTTTTGTGACCTGGCAAGCAGGCCTCCCCATTGACTTTCTGACAAAGTTGGTGGGGAAGCCAGATTCATCTAACAACCATGTTATTAACAGCTGCAGTGACTCACTTAAGGACTGTGACAAGAAAGGTAAAACGGGGCAAAGCTCACATAACAATTGTCTTGCTTAGCAGTGGAAATTTGGGCCTCAATTGGGGTTGTAAGTCAAGGACTTCATTTAATCCTATAGCTCCCTCTGCTGTTGAAAAAGGTTCTCTTGTTTAACAGATCAAAGAGCAAATGAAAGAAGAAAGTTGCCAAAATAAGATGCAGTCAAGGGCCCTGTTTTTCCTTTTTGTAGTCTAGACAAGGATATAACAAGAGAAATGAGCATATTAAGCCTTGTAAAAGATTTGGGATGGAGGGTTTTTTTTAAAAAAGTAATCCATTAAAATTGTACGTTGCCTGACTCTTTTAACAATTCTGCTGCTCACAACAATCAAAAGAAAAAAGAATGGGAAGCACAATGAGGAGGGATTGCTTGCCAAGTGTTTGGGTAAAGAACATTACCCTTCCTTCATGGCTCTTCTAAACAACAACCAAGTGGGCTGCATGGAGATTTCAAGCTTCTGCTATACTCAACCCTCCGTCCTTAATCCTAATACATAAAAAAGGTCAGTTCTACTCATTCTGAGCGCTGGATCTAAGATCCCAACAGGCCTTTTTGCAAACCTAATCTATGCATCCTTAATCTTCTTTTTGGAACTGCTTTTTGTGTTTTTAAAAATGGTAATTAAATAAATATTCACTGTTATTAACTCATCTCTATTCTACTTCAATATAGTTTTTACTATTTTTATATTAATATTTACTTACAATTCTTATGGTATTATATATAGTTTATATAAGAATAAGTTTTGTGTTTTTTTTTTTAAAAAATTTCTTGGTGTGCTAATTCATAGTCCTAATGCTTCACTGCTGGAATCTGATTTTTACATTCTTGATTCTCTAATGTTTGTCTATAAATGAAATATAGGTCTGAGCTGCATAAATAAAATAAACTTTAACTAAATACTCTCTACAGTAATTTACTATGTAAGCGCTATAATGATACTTGAGGCATAGAAGGATTTGCAAAATAAATATACCAGAATTTTTCAGGAATAAATCCAGATTGCAATTACTGTACACCTTATATTTAACTAGTTCCCATTTACTTAAAAATACTAGCTGACTCAATATTAAGCAATTTCCATCTAACAATGTTTCCACAAAAAATCAAGAACAAGTCAAATAAAGTCTAGAATTAATAGTTATATGCAAAAGTCCCAGCATCCTTATTAAATTGTTTGTTTCAAGTGGACAAAACCCAATAAAACATTTACATGAAACAAAGCACAGGAATTTTGATAAAGTAATTCCCATGACTTTTGGAGTACAGATTCCCCCTAAATGATCCAGCCTCACTGACATATTTATAACCAATCACGATTTCTATTTAATCCATGATTAATGGTGTACGTTTTTAACCTGCACCATTACCCTCAATTCACAATCACAGCAAACATAATGTGTGGGGGTCAGGGTACAAAGACTGCATGGTTCTGGCTAAAAGAAGCTGCAATGTTAAGTCACAAGAAAAGGACCCACCATCATACATTAACATGTCTCAAGTCCAGCTATGTCTGAGTTTACTACAGAATAAAGGATGGAAATGTGCCTAGCCTCTATAATACAGTTGTATGTAAGTGAATTCCAGATACGGTTTACTACAATCGGACATTATTGCAAGTCAGCAGAAATACGTACCTCTGCATAGTGTGATGGTATTGTTAGTGGAGGTTGCCAAAAGGACTTAATTATATTTGGATACTTCCGAATAATGATTAACAGTGAAAATACTAAAGCTAGCATTAAAAACACAGATGCAAGTATCAATAGGCAATTGAGAATTCTTGTTCTCTCTGAAAGAGAAAGGGACATTGATATATTATTAGCACATTGAAAGACACATTTGCTACAAATGTCAGAAACATACATGAAACAAGTTAACAGTTTGTTGGATTACAATATAGTAACTGCAATGAAAGTTCAGAAAAATGATACTGTACTATCTGTCTACTAATGAAGAGGTTTATGTGCAGGAAAAGTGCCGATATAGCTGGAGAAAAATATACAGGACATAGGGGCAGAAAAAGCTATTCAAACAAATGGAATACGGGTTCCTGAATAGTGTTGAATTATAGGCACTGTTGACAGAAATCGGTTGGAGGTTAGATAATTAAATACAACGAAAGCCCTCGGGTGCATGGCGGAATATAGATGGGTGGGTAGATAAATAGATGATAGACAGATGGACAGACAAGAGACACACATTTGAGAAATAGAAATAATTCCTTCTCAAACAGTGAAATATATATTTTATATATATGGTATTCAGCTTTGTTCGGGTATTTTCCCACGTCATTATAGTTGTGCTTTTAAAGTTGTAGCAACGTTTTGGCAGAATCTCATTTGCCATCATCAGGCTTCTGTATAGTGTTCGTCTGTGAGTCAGACTTTCACAGCCGTTTCTGTTTTAAATTTGGGGCTAGCCTACTACTGTGTTAGAATGGTTTTTTCTTCACCCTGATTGGTTGGGAGTCTTGGTCTGTGTTTATTGGTCTTGGAGTTTGCTGCGTTCTGCTTGATTGGTGTTTCTAATATCTTCTGTCTGTTTTGTAGAATTTTTTTTGTCTTGATTGGCTGGCAACATTGTGTTTCCTGTATTGGAGGTGCGGCTTGGCTTCGAGTAAACAGACGACTATCATTTATTAGGAAGCTAGGTTTCATCTGGGTGCCTGGTTGGGGTGAGTTTGAGCTGGAGGTATCGGGGGGGGGTCTGTTTGTGCCCAGGTGTTTGCTTGGCTTATGGAGTGGAGATTTCTTTTGTTTGTGAGTGCAGGCTTCCAGATAATTGACAGTCTGGTGGAGTCATCTCTTCTATTCATGCACGTCGCTACAACTTTAAATGCACAACTATAATGGGGAAAATACCCGAACAAAGCTGAATACCATACATACGGATACCCACAAAAACTTAAGAAAACAAACAAATATATATATACACACACACACACACACACACACACACACACACACACAGACGAACACAATACAGAAGCCTGATGATGGCAGATGAGATTCTGCCGAAACGTTGCTACAACTTTAAAAGCACAACTATAATGATGTGGGAAAATACCCGAACAAAGCTGAATACCATACATAGATATAGATATAGATATAGATATAGATATAGATATAGATATAGATAGATAGATAGATAGATAGATAGATAGATAGATAGATAGATATGATATGATATGATATGATATGATATATATATATATATAGGAGCCTCAGTGGTGCAGTGGTTAGAGTGCAGTACTACAAGTTACTCCTACTGTAATTTGGCAGATCGAATCCCACCAGGCTCAAGGTTGACTCAGCCTTCCATCCTTCCAAGGTGGGTAAAGTGAGGACCCAAATTGTTGGGGGCAATATACTGACTCTGTAAACCGCTTTGAGAGGGCTGTAAAGCATTATAAAGCAGTATACAAGTCTAAGTGCTATCGCTATATGGACCATCTGAGATACCAAGATCAGTTTTCCGCTCAAATTTAAGTGTATTTCATCCTGAAAGTAATAATGAATCGTTCATTACTGCTATAATCTCAAATAGTATCTTCAGTTAATTTGTATTAAGGTTTATATGTTTCAGTAAAAAAAGACCTTGAGTAGCCTACACTCTTTGCTACTGTACAACTTTCAAGCACAATTTAAATCTGGATAACCAAATCACAAATGCTGTAATAGTAAAATCCTAACCATAACCAACATACAGCCATACTCCTGTTGATACAAGAAAAATCAAGTGCTTCCTCTTCAGGAGCAACACAATATTCACCCATCCTGCAGAAATAAGGACTATCCTTACCTCTACAGAGATGCTATTCCATAGGAGCTGACACAAAGAAGGATCTCTGGTATTATTTAAAGGCTGAGATGCAAGGAAATCTCAACAAAGAGGCAGAGAAGATGTGATGAGATATGGGACGTGTGCACTCAATAAGGAAGACTGGATATTTGAGGCCAATCCTCACTTCCACTCCTGATTTTGTCTTAAGGCCAGGTTATGTTACTCCTATCAATAGATCCTGGCCACTGTTTTTGAATGGCAGGCCAATTATAATAAATCTCTCATCTCTTATCATATTAGACTGGTTTGTATTTCCAAGACCTGGTTGTTGAGGAGAATTTGGCATCAGTCATGTTTCCATGGTAGGGGAGATTATTTAAACAAAAAATAACTAGTAGATACAATCTATTCCTTTAATTCTGCACACACATAACTATACATCAATTAAATAGTAATACATACCAGTGATTGTAGTCTTTGCACAATAAATACCACTTTTTTCTCCTTTGCGTTCATGCAGTCTTGCTTGTATCCTAAAGCAGTATGTGGTTCTTTCCTTTAGATTCTTAAATCTGTGTACGGTAGTCGTGATTGGCTGTATAATAAAATCCAGTTAAAACATTATTATATAGTTCCTGTTATTCAAATTACAATCATATTAATTTCAGAAGTACAGCTGTTTTAGTTCAGGGGTAGGCAATCTCAAGTGCACATGGATCCCCCAGAATCCTGTTCTTGGCCTTCAGGTAACTCTTAGTAGATACAGGCAATATTTTTGTTATATGGTGGAACTGCAATTATATCCAATATTTTTAATTGAAATGGGAAAGGGGTGAATTTAAGGAGCACTGATCTTGTTTTGCAAGCTTTAATATACTCCGTTGCCCATTTAAAAGATAGATCTGAAAAAAAAGGGCTTTAATCTTCCCAATAAAGGTACAATGCCTCCTGCAGCCCTCAGACAGAACAAAAAGATATTATGGAGCCTCCAAATTGAAAAGATTATCTCCCCACAAATCAATGATTTTTGTAGAACTACCTCCAAGTTTTTGTGTGACTACTGAAAGCTGATATTCCAGAATATCTAAAATAACTATTAAATTTTAAGCAATTAGGATAAAGTAAGCCCAGTATCATTTAGTATACAGCTGATCATAAATAATATGTTTATTATCCTCCAAATCAAAGGTGCTCAAAGGGCTGCCTGTCTCATCTATGCCTTTTGTAATATATTTTCTCTACTTCCCATGACACATTTGCTACGGCTTTCTATAAAATATCACAGCAGGTAGTACCATCTCAGAAAAGTAAAATGGGTTGGATTTGGTTAATAGACCAGATAAATAAGAAAAAAAGATCTAAAACTGTGGCAGGGACAAACTTTTTGTATTTTAAAAGCAAGGTGGATGTATGGAATTTGAGACAGATTTTCCTCTGTACAAAACTTGAGAAGTTTGTGGGCCTTTATCAAGGAATGAAAGCTGTTCTCTAAATAATTTCAAGTTAAAGAAAATCTTGTTATACAACCTAGTGTGATTATCCCAACAGGATAAGAAGAAATTCTGAACAGTTGGAAAAGCTTTAGTAATGTCCAGGCTGTTTGTAGATTACAAAGAATGTGAGATCAATAATATTAAAAATCAAGTGGTCAGTCATATACAGGTAAGCAGCTACAGAAACTGAATAAGTAAAACCTCCCAGCCTCTACCTCCTTTTAATTCTTATCATCATCATTATCATATTTTATTTATTAAATTTATTTATTTATCTAAAGCATTATATAGCCACCCATATTTCAACCAATGCTACCTACGGTAGTGGGCAATGATAAAAAAAATTAAAAGATATATAAAATCAATTTAAAACTACAAGAGTCAACCAGTTAAACATTAAAAATAACAAATGTGTATACTGCTCAAATTTTAGTGACTTGAGATTTCCCCCCCCCTAACGGTGAATCAATTCTATATTCAGTATATTTATGTCTACTGTTTCAGAAAAGGATTAGTTCTACTAAAAATTTACTCCAACTACGAAGCTAGATTTATTTTCCAGGGACCAGCTAATCACATTTTCTATTTTTTTTAAATATCCAAACAAATCCCATTAAAATAATTTTAGTACTTTTTATGCATTTAAAATACATCTTTTTAATATATGTAATCAAGGTTGTGAGGGTAGTCATGGGCAGGCCTTTCTTCCTTAATACCGTATTATCTGTCTGTCTGTCTGTCTGTCTAATCTATCTCCTACCTGCCTATTTATTTTTGTATTTCTAGACTGCATTTCTCCCTCAAAGAGAAATGCTGGCAGTGTAATATGCCAACACAACATTGGCATATAAAACAATTATAAAATTAAACTATTAGAATTAATTTAGGGTTTTTTCATATTTCTTTCATATTTCTCTTAAAATTTTTATAAATCATTAATAACAATTAAAATGTTCCCATCCTTTCCTAATTTCATTCTCTCGTTCTCTTTATTTATTTATTAAGCAACATTACATTACATTAAAATAAGTATTTTATCTATCACTTTAATCACACTGGTTTCTATATTCATTTCTATTTCTAATATAAGAATGCTATCTTATATACCCTTGCAGAATCCTCTTTCAATTAAATTTTTACCCATTGTCTCTATGTCTTCTAAATAGGCTTATACCTTTAATCCTTGTATGTTTTCCCTGTTTCTCTATTTCCTGTTTCTGTCCTTTATAAATTCTTTTCCTTTCCTTCTTCCCCCTCTTCTTCTCCCTCCCCTTTTTGACCCCTTGTCTCTCTAATTCTAATTCTCTCTTCTGTAATCCTCTCTTCTGTTTCTTCCTAATATTGTAATTGCTTTTCAAACTGTTCTTTTTTTGGTTGTTTTTTCAAATCTTAAATTTTTCACTCTCTTTCCCCCCTTTCCTTTCTCCCCCCCCCCCCATAGAATTATTTGGTCATTTAAGATGGCTTCTTCTTTGTCCCGGCCTTCTTGTTCTAGACGCATTTCTTGTTGTTTCTCATAGTTCAAGATCTCTATTTCTAAGAATTGAAATATGAAGCCAAAAACGCCTCTTTCTTCTTGTGCATCTTCTTTCTGTTTTTTAAGTTCTATTTACAGTTCTTCCAAGAGTGATGCCATTTTAAACACTTTTAAACAACCACCCGATTGATTTTAGTCATTTAAGTCCAATAACCAAAAATCCAAAAATCACCAAATAATCCAAAGCTTTTTCTTCTTGCTTCTTTTTTCCACTTTCTCTTCCTAGGATTCTATTTATCTTGTTACAAAGTTTCAGTTAGAATATATCTTTTCGAAATCTTGTTAAAGTTTCACTGTTAATTCCTTTTACTTCCAGGTGGCCTCCTCCATTTTTTCCTTTTCTCTCCTTTCCTTCTTTTAAAAATTTTTATATATCCAAAAATCTTTATTATCACTTTGACATTTTATTTTCAGCTTAAATGTCTATTAATGTCAAAGTAATTTTTATCAATTTCTTGCTTAAGTCTCTTAGCTGTCAATATGGGAAAGGAAAGAAAAAAACCCCAAATCTTTCCCCTTCGCCGCTTCAAAAATCTTCTTTAGGAACAGTTCTTCTTTATAATTCAAATTCCAGGGTACCTTATATTGTTGCTTTTTCAGTTCAACCCGATCAATCAAAACTTTCTCTTCTTATCTTCCTCATGCACAATCTTTTCCGGTCCAGTTCTTCTTTGAGGTGGCCATTTCTGACCACTGCTGCAACTGCCTTTGGAAACGGGAGTAATGGCCAGCTGAGGAGGAGAGATGCGGCTCTCCTCGCCCCTGCTGGTGTTCTCCCCCCCTCTTTACCACCTCTACGGGGTAGCTTTTGCCCCGAATCCAGCTGGCTCGGGGTGCTCCGGTGGCGAGCAGAGATCGAAACTGCGCACGATCGCGGATTTCAGTCTATCACCGAAGAAGCTAAAACCGGAAGTCCATTAATTTAGTTAAAATTTTAAAAGTTATAAAAATATAAAATTCCAAAAAGACAAGAAAATTTCAAAGGCAATTTAACTCTATTTAAATTGGTTGATGGAGGCAGAGTTCTCATAACACCAACCAGCCCCATGACTGCATTTACCCCCCCGCCCCGTCCCCTACAAGGCTACTGAGTCCTGGAGGCCACCTCATTTCTGGTGGACATATATTCTATAATATGGGGGCAGCAGCAAAGGAGGCTCTGTTCCTAGATCCTGCCAGTCAGAATTCTTTGACTGACGGGATCTTTAACATACTATCCCTGCCTGCCTGATTATATCTTGGTGATCATTGATGATTTTCTTCATCTAGATCCACCCTGTATAAAATATTTGATGATTTCTCCATTGTTTAATGACAATGATTTATATTATGCAGTGGCCTGCAACCTTTTTGGCATCAAGGACCGGTTTTGTGGAAGACAATTGTTTCACAGACTGGGAAGGAGGGGATAGTTTCAGTTTTGCTCGCTCGCCTGCCACTCACCTCCAGCTGTGCGGCTTGGTTCCTAAGAGTCCGTAACCCTGGGGTTGGGGACCCCTAATCTAATGTCTTTGCTTTTATTACTGAAATTTAAGAATGCTATTATAAATTGTTTTGACCCGCAACAGTAAGGGTAATGATATAAACATAAATAAGAGATTAACAGATTTATTCAAACATTTCCTAATAATCCTTATATTATCAGCTTGTCAAGGAAAGGCAAGTACTTACTGAAGTATCTGCTGAATTCTCCCAATAGATTGTATAGTCAAATGAAGAGAAATTACTTCTTTTCTCAAAGGGAGGCAAGAAACTTATAAGAATTGAATTAGCTTGTGAAGTTACACTTATTTCTCTTGGAGGTCCTATAATGGCTAAAATGAATAAACAAACACCATTATTTTAACCAAATATCATGTCACCATTATTTTAATCAAACATGCATGAACTATGTTAGTTCATTTTAACACTTGAGAGTATTTGCATTAAATAAGAAATGCTTACTTGAAGCATTTTCTGCCACTGTCATTTGAATACATAGAATAAACCCCACTGTTCATTCTAGGAGCTGAGGGCAACATAAATGGGCGACCCCTGTGAATTGAGTTTAGCATTTAATGCTCTAATCTGCATTAACATCTATCCAACACTGGATCATATCTTGTATGAAAGAATTTGGTACTTTCTAATAGTACTGGATCTAGATTTTAAGTTTATTTTTCACCATAAAAGCTCACTGGGTGACTCAGAATCCCACAAGGTTATTGTTGTGGAAATGCAAAGTAGAGAAGTATATGCTACACATGACTCCCTGAGTTTCTGAAGGAAAAGTGGGATATAAATCTCACAAATGAATCAACCAAAACATAAATAATATTACAGAAGATATGACGATAAGAGAAGCAACAGCAATAATGGGAAAAGTGTTATATAGTGTTATATAATAATGGGAAAAGTGTTATATAGGCTAATTATTCAGATAACACTACATCATATGTGCTTCTGACACATATGATGAAAATCTTATCATTCCACAAATGCAATGATTACACATCTAAAATTTTCTTACCCAGAGGATAGTGTACCAATGAAACATGTGAATATTTTTCTTGGAGTGAAAAAGGTACATCAGTGAATTTGTCTGTACCAGCATGAGTAAGAGATATAGAATATAGATACTTGTGACTAATATGTCTCTATGAAATGAAATGTACAATTCTTCTTATAGCACCTCTGTGAATAGCTGTATATTGCTATGAGAAATAAGTCTCATTCCTTTTTTTAAAAAAAAGCTTCTTGACAAGCGTTTATGAAAGAGTCAATTTCATAAAATGCCTCTGGATCTTAGTTTATAAAAGCTGATGATGCCATTATAAATTATTCAGTCTCTGAGACAAAGACTTGGTATACGATAACGTATAGGCCCTATCTTTTGTTCTATTGCCTACACTTTTCACTTTCACATATGAAATGACTAAAAAAACACATATTTAGTCAGAGACTTAATTCATCAATAAATAACAAGTAACAAATGAAACATACTATCTTTGTTAGCAACAAAGGGGAGTGTTTTAGTCCACTCAGATTTTAAGTTGCCTTCTTCAGCTCGAACACGAAAAATAACTGCAAAAATATCCTTTTTACTCTCAAAATCACATTCGGGTTTTGTGATATCTCTGCAGTTCACTTCTTTCCATATTTGGTCATATTCTCTGCAATATAATATAAAGACAGTAGAATTCCTTAGTGGTGTAATTTGAATGACAATATGTGATAAAGAATAGAAATTTATATTTGATAATTGACAACCGTTTACTTACAAGCACCACTGAACACTGTAAATCACCGGACCATTGATTCCCCTAACTGGAGACCAGCTCAATACATTCTGAAAATTATATGACTTAATTGTCAAATTCTGTGGTGCTGGTAAGGAGAGAGAAAATCCTAAAAAGGCAAAAAAAAATAAGAGATGCTAAAAGGAATAAAAGCATAACATCCACAATTCACCATACTCCCAAACACTTCAATGGAGAGGTGAGTTGGCCATTACTGATGCAGATATAATATTCTGGAGGGTAATAACTAAGCTTACCATCAGCATGTCAATAGGAACACTTATTGCCATATTTTTATACCATCCTAATTTCTGTGATTCAAAGCGATTTACACAAAACTTCTTAAAATTCTCAACAATTACAAATGCAAACCTGTTTGAAGCCCATCAGGGTAATTTCCACTGTTTTGTAAAACACAAGCAAGGCAGAGGACTTTCCCTACTTCAAGGTTAAGATATCCATTACTCCCTTACTCCCATGAAGTGGAAACCCAGAGCAGCCCCTCTCAAGGTGCACACATGGGGGAGGGACAGGAGGAAGCTGCCGTGGGTGCTCAGGTTAAAATCAGTGCATTTAACGGAGTCCCAATTAGTGTTAGAACTGTCACAATGGTAACTTTGGACACTTTTTCCAACTTGAATTCTGGAGATAGATAGACTGAAGAGAGAAGAGGGCTTTGGGAGGTATGGGTAGAAGGATAGATCCAAAAGAAGGATAGAATTTAAGTCCAAAGAAATTCTCCAACTATCACAATGGTATGGTTAGAAATAAATAGTTGTTGCCATGGAAAGTTAACCGCCTACAAACACTTTGTAAAATATAAACTTACTAGAAATAACTAAGATAATACAATATTTTAAAGCAGGGGGTTTCATACTCAAGGTTGAAAAATAAAAAAATATTCAGAAGCAGTGAAAAAGAGGTAAAGTTCCAGTGACAGTAAATTGGCAGCATTCAAGTTATGTTTCTTCTCTCAACACAGAACTTCACCAAGTGCTCATGAAACTGTGGGGTTCTGAGGAACACGACTTGAGAAATATTAAACATATTTGTTTAGATAGATCGTACATGCTAGATAATGCTCATGGTGCTTTTTACTGCTTGCATGATTTTTAATTGCTTTTTTAGTAGATTTTTGTGCATTTATTTTGTTTGTTTTTCATTTGGGGAAATTTAGCCTTACAGAATAGAGCTGAGAGAGAGAAGCTCTTCCCAAAATATTAATGCAGATCATTTTGGCAACTACATTCACTAAAACATGATGCATCAAGACAAGTAATCATAATTCATAGAGGTATGATACATGTATATCTAACAACTCATTTTTACCTGCCTATTAACTGTAATCCATTCATCAGCTTTTGTAGTCTTACTGGAATCACTCATTTATTTTGAAAGTGTCTATATAATTTTTTAAAAGGTACCAAGCAAATATCTGTATTGCTCATATTCATAGCAATCCTATAGGTCCACTTAGTTCTCATCATATTGTCCCATAAATGTCTGTTTAAATAACAATATTCATAACTATGTAGGCTAATGATGCAGTTCTAGATCACAACCATTTAAAAAAACATAAGCAGATTCAGAACTTCACAGACCAGTATCTCTTTTCCCAAGAAGCCGCCTGAACTTATCAAAGCGTATTAAAGCTACCCCATAGATTTGCCATTTTTCAATCCAAAGAGCCGACCTTTGCCTTGAAGACAAGCCTTCCTCTATCCTACAAATGGGAAGTCTCCGGCTACCGACCTTTGATTTTATAGTCTACCATCTATTTATTTATTTATTTATTTGTCTTATCGACCTCCTAAGATTAGGTGAACTCATAAGAGAGTGTTGGAAAGAGATAGCAACCTTATTCAGATGCTGAAAATTCAGGCCATTCCTTACATGGGATTTTAACAAAATCCACACCATCTACCTAATTAAAAGGCACAAGAATCTTCAGATTCCTTAACGATTCGCCCAGGTCCGCTCCAGCCACCCGTCAACGCTATTTTGACACGGCTTGGAAAGCACCTCCCTGAGAACTACCTTCGACAACCGCGGAAAGCAGCAGCCACCAGAGGAAGAGGAACCGTGGCCATTCGCCAAGGGGTAACATGCCGTCTGCGCTTCCTCCGCTCACGCGCCTCCTGAAGGGGTAAGCAGCGATTCTCTTGGCTCGTACCCCATTCTTTGCACCCCAATTTCGTCCAGGCCGCGACTGCTCTAGCTCCCGTAGGAGCCTCTCGGGCGACACCCGCCAAGCTTCCCGAAGGAGGGCGGAGGCGGAACTGCGGAGGCGGCGCAAAAGCTCAGGATCTTGCTTCCTATTCCGTGTGGCCAGAAGGTCACAGCCCCGCGGAGGAAGGGGAAGCGGTCGAGTGCCGAGGAGTCTGCCTTGCCTTTCCCTGCAGCGCTCTAACTCCAGGGGCGACATGTGAGGTGCCTCTGGCCTTGCAAACTTCTTTGGACTACTATTCCATGATTCCTGACTTGGCTTGCTCAGACTGATGAGAAGTAGAGCCACCGATTCCCTGCCTTGAAATGTAACGTTGTACATTGGGGGTCCTAAATACCCCAAAGACGCTTTTTCAAGAGGCAACTGAACGTTCTTAGGTTTTGGGTTTTTTTTATAAAGATGTTTCGCTTCTCATTCAAGAAGCTTCTTCAGCTCTGACTGAACGGTGGGGAATGGAAGGATCAGAGTCAGAACTGAAGAAGCTCTTTGGATGAGAAGCAAAACATCTTCAAAGAAAAAACAAGAAAGTCCAGTTGTCTCTTGAAAAAGCGCCTTTGGGACAACCATGACTTGGATGCCTGAGAAGCTCCACAGATTTATTTAGCACTGGGTTGCATGGATACGTTAAAATTGGAGGCTTATGCATTTCATTCTTTTTGTTAACGATTTGGGGTGATGAGCATAAGCCGAAAAGTGTAGCGTAAATAAACGATGGAGCCCGGCGTGCAGCAGATTCGCGTCCGGGGCAACCTCAGAGCATGTGCAGAGACTTTGGGGGAAAATCACCCTGGAGATAGCTCCACCTCTGCAATTGCTATTTTCTGTTTTAGTCCCGATGCATGTTGTGCGCTTTTCGTAAGGAGTTGCTGCTTGCGTGCAAAGGCAGGTTGCCGTTCAAGTCTGCCTGAGGGAAGGTGCTGTTGCCGTTGTCCGGGATACTCGTGGCAAAATACAGCGAAGCTGGCTGGGACTTGAATGGCAGAGTCTTTGCAGGGCCTTGGCTGTTGAAGAGGCTGCATTCTCCAGACCAGGCTGGGCAGGGAGGGAATAGAGAGGGAGGCAAAGACAACAACTACTTCAGCTGGCGACGGTGGCGGCAGAGGGTGGAGGTGGGCGGAATACAGAGTCTCTTCATCTCAGCCATGCGGTGCTAGGCAGCCAATAGAGCTGCTTAGATCAAGTGGGGGCAGCAGAAGCAGAGGCGGTTCACCCAGGACAGGAGAAGTGTGAGGTTTCTGCCGAGCGACTGACCGGTTTTCACTTAATTACCACAATCAGGACTGCCAGAACTGCTGTCACTAAGTGGCTCAGTGACATGTTTTGCTTAAGGACCATTAGGCATACCAATGGAAATTGTGGCCCCAATTAGGGTTGTAAGTAACCCAAGGATTACTTGCTCAATTAAGGAATTGTTTTCTTTTGAGAGAAACAACATTAAATTCAATAGCAACCCCTTTGCTCACCTTGGGAAAGGCTATCCTTTGAAGAAAAAGAGCAGTTGCTAATCTTTAATAAAGCATCAAAATAGAACTATAGGTACAATCTGAGATAGTGTGAGGTACACATTTTTAACGCAGTGCCTACAAATTCAGCTCCTTCCCATCTCTTCTATCTTATCCTGGAATATTGGTTTTAGATACTTCATTTTATCTGTTTTTGGTCAAATTTATCTGTTCACCTAAGGCAGTGATGGCTAACCTTTTTGGCACCAAGTGCGTGCACATCCCCAAAATGCATGCATGCCCCACAAATGTGTCCTGCCCCCCCTGCACATGCGTGGCAGAGACCTGAAGACCAAGTGGCTGGCAGGAGGCATGCACACATGCGTGCCGGAGCTGAGCTGAGGCAATGATTTGCGTGCCCACAGGGCTCTATGTGCCATTACAGACTTAAGGTATTGCAGGGGCCAGGCTTGCATTTCTCTCCGTACAAACTATTACATTTTTAAATTTTTTGGTAAAATTTAACTTATCATGGCAGCTACAATGTCCTGTGATTCATAGGTTCCTCTTCTCTGTGTGCCTTAATATGAGAAGTTAACTTTTTCCTGGTTGCTTAATTTCTAGACCATAGTAATTGTTAGTTGTTACAGTAAGCTGCGTCATCAGATTGCCGTATTTCATGTGGCTCTACGCAATACACACTTCAGGAATGTTATAAATCTATATATTAGAGGGGGAATTCCTACGTATTATGAAAGATGACCTTAACAAAAAGAAGAAAAGACTATCTCACTCTCACTTTTGTAGATTAAGAAACATTTCCGAATGTGTTACCTTCTATCCATAATCTAACATGAACCAGTTTGTGGGGGTGGGGAGAACAGTTTTTCTCTAGGCGTTATGCAAACAGTCTCATATTCCATTACTGGCAATACATTATTTTAAAAAGTTTATCAAGTATTTGTACTGTATGTATAAAATATACAGTAAATTACAGATGTAAAGTGTCCTTTGCCATCTTTGGTTAAAACTAATCCTATTCCTTATTCTTTCTTTTTGCTTTGTATAGCATATTAAACTTCAGGACATCTGAGCAGAAATTATAAAGAATAAAGCCAATTTTTTTTGTAAATCAAACAAAATTAACATTTAAGAAATGACAGCTGCAAAATGCTATTGAAACATGTTCACATTTGACCCAATACCATTTTCTGCTTTGAATTAAGTACCTACTTAGTTCCTTTTATTCCCATATTTATAGTGTCTTAAGAGTTCAGAATCTTAAGGATTCAAGAAGAGATCTGAATTAGTCTCCCCTTGTTATAAATTCAGTATTCGATATTTTTATAAAATGTAAAAAAAGCAGAAACCTGAGAATATACAGTAACAATAAACCTTGGTTCACAACTAAGCGTAAGAAGCTATGTCGTACCAAAGTGGAAGCCTACAGGAAAGGCTGTACATACTGTACAATCAGGCCAGAAACGTATTAACAAGGGATATCAGAACAGCAAAAAGAAGCTACTCTAATTTTTCATGGTTTTTTTTCATGTTTTTTTATTTTTAATTTTTTAAAAATATTAACAAATGTGACATTTCCTTATGTGAGAAAAATTACATTTAGTATCTGGTATTGCCTCCTTTAGCAAAAACAATCTCAAGCAAGCATTTCCTATAGCTAGTTTTTGACATCAACTAGGGGAATTTTTTCCCCATTCCATGCATATTTTTTTCCAGCTGTGCAGTGTTTGAGGGCTTTTTTTTTCCTGGTTTGGTTTTTCATACATAGCCTGTTCCAGATCACTCTACAGCATCTTGATGGGCTTTGATTTGACCATTTCAGAACCTAATTTTTTTTCTTTCTCTTTCTCAGCCATTCCTTGGTAGATCTGTTGGAATGTTCAGTCATTGTCATGTTGCAAAGTCCACTTTCAGTTGAATCTCAGTTGTCTCACATTATCCTCAAGCATCTTTGGTACAATGAAGAATTGTACCAACAATGCTTTGATTTTCTCAAAACAGCTCTTCTGGCATTGTGTTATTAAACTATCTACCATCAACAGCTCCAGAGCAGACATTAATCTTGCCCTTATGTTGTTTATGGATAGTAAAGGTTCCATCCATAGATCTAATTTGTAGCTTCTTTTCATTGTGGACTGCCATTTTGTCACCAATAATGACAAGAACTGCCTGTTGTTACAGGATGAAATTCCGGGGTTCTTAAAGACTTCTTTCAACATCTTGCATTCTGTTCTTGGGCTGAACTTCCTGGAACAGCCTGGATTGACCAAGTTGACAGTTGTTTGAAATCTTGACAGTGGAATGCTCGATGTTCAATAGTTTTGTGATCTTATTAAATCCCTTTCCAGACTGATAGACATCTGTAATCTTTTAGTGAGCTCTTTCGTTCTAGGCATTGTGATACCACCCACTCCAGCAACAAAGATCTGCTCAGAGCTAAAAATCCTGCTTGGATTTTAGCTTCCTCTTGTCTCCATGGGCTGGATGAAAAAGCGGTGTCCTGAACGGTGTAAGTTCCCTTCCATATACTGAAAGGCACTTCTTCAGTGGGGTGGATAGATTTAAACTCCATTGCTGCACTTTTCTCAACTTTCCTCTATGCACAAAAGCAAACTTCTGTGGGGTGCAGAGACAAAGCTTAATTCAATTAATTAATCAATCAAGTCCGTCAATTGTCTCACACATGTATGTCAGGCTTCAGACTTGGAATGTTAAATTTCCAAGTGGGTCTCATTTTCCTATTATTGTCAGCAGAATAATTCACTATTATGCTGTAAACTTTATTCATAAACTTTATTACAAAGGATTTGGAAGAGATGCTTTGCAAAACATTACAAATCTTAAAAGTAACATACAGTATTTTGGAAAACCTGTGCAGGTGCTTCACAAGCTATCCCAGCTGCTTCTGCATAAATGTATGCACAGCTGCTTTACTGTGACTTAGAACAATATTATCTGCACATACAGTATATACTACCATTTAGGTCTTTAAAACCATTTTTGTGCAGATACTAATCCCCCAAATAAAAATAAGTTGACTTGATTGATGTTAATATTTCCTTCCCTTGGTATCCAATTAAGATCAGCCAGTACACTTGGATGACTATGTGAGAAATGATAAAGTTTATTCCAACAGGATACAAATTGAATACGGTATATTATTTCAAATATATATCAAGCAAGTCTGACTGGCTTTTCAGCCAGAGGTGGTATTCAGCAGGTTCTGACCAGTTCTGGAGAACCGGTAGATGTCTGAATGAATCTGTGATTCTGTGAGCAACACAATCTGCCTGCCTGCTTTGCCTGATTTTGGGTAAAAGTTTCTCTTTTTTTAATAAAAAATTCAATATATAAATATTTATAATATTTACATACAAGCCATGCCCAGCCAGTCACATGACCACCAAGCCACACCCACAAATTAAGCCATGCCCACAGAACCGGTTAGTGATCCCTGGGATCTAAAATTGGTTCCTGAGGTCCAAAAGGTTGGCAACCCCTGATATAAAGTATTTTTTTCCTATAACATTTTAAGAAGAGAAAACAAATTTGTTCCTTCACTTGATGTAAACGGTTCTTCCAGCAGCAGGCCACAAAGCTCAAAATCAGTGTCAGTGGAGGCAGCTCATGGCCACTTTCAGGCACAGGTCTTTGTTCTTTATAGACTAATGGTAATACATATTATTTCTATAATGAGCAAGTTTTCCTCATTATGATGCTTGCCTCATCTTGTTTCCAGCTTGCATTATCTTACAGTTATACTGGTATTAGTTCTGAGGATTGATGGGATTCGTTATCTCCAGAAATAATGTCATCAATAAAATAGTTTCCTGAGTCTTGACTGATCTCTTCCAACTCTTTGTCGAATCTGACATCATCCAGGTTAACTTTACATGGAAGAGCAACACTGGAATTTATGACCATACATTTGTCTGTTTGTTCTTCTGCAATTGGGAAATACAGTCTCTTCAAATCTTTTTCTCCAAAGTTCTGCAGTGGGACAAAATAAAGTGATAAGAGAAATGTAAATAAGTTTTTAAATAATTTAATAATCACTATTACAGTATTATAAAATATTGCTGAAACTATTTATTATACAAGGCCCTATCAAAAGTTGTATAGAGATAAAGCTATCACTGAAATTTAGAAGTACTGCTTAAATTCTGAAAAGATTATTAATTCTTGAGTGTTAGCCAGACCAGCCTAATTACTAGAATACACTTTAAAACTTAAATAATTGCACAAAAACTGACACCAAAACAATTGTTGGAATTCGAATAGGACTAAAAAACTGAACAGAGTCTAAAGCGAATTCATGGAACTCTACAGTTTGCTATCTTCACTTAGTCAGCAGTAAAAAATAAACATCAATATCAACAATCAATAAAGTGAAGAGAGATGAAATACAGACTGCTACCCAGTAGAATGGCTTCTGCTGTATGTCAGAGAGGGGATCTAGGTTCACAGCTGCCATTTCAGTGTAATACTTAATTTGACTATTTAGAGTACTTGGGGAAAAAATGGCAGCTCATGAGTGGCCAATTATAACCTCAAATGAATCAAAATTCTCGGTCATTGTATCTTCCCCCTACAGAACAGCATCCTCGCAGAGATCTGTATGTGCTCACTCGCAACAGAATTTTAAAAGTTTCCACATGAACATAGGTGATATTTCTAGTCTACTTTTCCACAATTATTTTAATTGTATTTATTTTAAATAATATGTTAAATTGTTGATAAATACCTCTATGACTGCTGGAGTTTTACATTTAGGGAAGCGTGCATAGTTTATACCTCCCCAAGCACAAGGAAATAAGCATATTATAAAAAACACGACAGCAGAAATAATGCCGGGGATGAAAGATGAAGATTCTCCTACAAAACAAAAAGAGAATCAAACTAAATTGAGTGAAATTGGGTTGTACAAGAAAGCAAAGTGGATTTTTTCTCATTAATAGCCTTGATGGCTTGTATCACGCAGGACAGAATTATACAGTTGCCTAGATACATACTTAAAAGTTTTTTTCCCTTCCGTTTTTGCTCATTGTAGTTTGGATTCAGAGTCCTAAATTTTTCCCCAATATACCTCCATTGTACCTAATTCAGCATTTTAGCTTTGTTGCTATCAGGAGCAACTGATCTGTGAAACTCAACGTAATTACTTCCCCTCTATCAATAGAAATCAGCAGAGTCTCATCCCCATGAAAATAATTCATGTAGCAAGCACTACATGAGAACGGAGAAAGGGTTTACATTATATTTTTATGTAAATGTAGTTTTATAGCAAACCTACCAGCAGCAGTGTTTAGCTACTCACAGCTTTTTATAGCACTCATACTACCAGACTTTGGTCAATATATGAAAACACAAAAACAAGCCATACAGTAAAATATTATCCATCTCCCCAGCACAATATAAAGCAGCTTGCAAAACATATAAGAAACAAGTTCCAAATCTGAAAGCCCACCAGAATTAATTTTTCAATTCCTTCTGAAATATCACTAACAAAGGGGCCAGACACAACTCCAAAAAAGTCTGGCAAAATACATCATCGATTTACAGTGAATTTTTAAACAACCATTCAAATTTATGACAGATTCAAAAAATATTACCTTCAACCTTTCCCAGATTTATGACTAACAAATTATTTTAATGCAAAAATAAGGACATCCAAATGTACATGGGCTCTATGCATGTAACATAAAATTGAAAATAGCTTCTTATTGAATCTGCCATATTATGAAATACAATCCTTTTGAATCTTTCTCAAAATCATTCCAAAGAGTCACAGTTATATGTTTATAAAAATCTGCTTTCAAGTCTGTGAACATTTTGAAGTTGTAGTTCTTTTATAAAAATTATGAATGTAATTTTACACTTTGAAACCCTAATATAACTAACAGGGACAATATAGATACTAAAAATGAGAGCAGAGATATAAGATATTCCAAATCAAATGTTAACATACCTTTGGCTGTTTTAATGCAAGTTTCATTGCTAAAAGCACTACTTTTATTATATGTGTCAGAAAATGCTTGCGCTTTTAAGCAATATAATGTTGAGGAGTTCAGATTTGAGATAATAAACTGTGGTGATTTATGTCTGAGTTCCTTCTGCAAAAAACACAAAAGAGGGAATACATACATGGATAAACCAGACCAATAACTAAATCGTAATAAATTCTGAGAAAAATCTTTTAGCATTAGAAGCAATATACAGTATAATTGCAGAAATAAGGGTCAATTAATATGAAGAATAGGAAAATACTGGTGACAACTGATGGACTATCATTGGCACTATTTCCTAGTCAGCAGTATTTGAGAGGACATGTTTGAGTTTAATGCTTTCCACTTGAAGATATTGAATTGAAAAGGCAGAATTGTACGATATTATTTAAGGATTCTTTTTTTAAAAGATATATTAAGATTTAAAGATTCATTAAAATATATATATTCACTACACTTGTACATAACTTGAAAATTATTTGAAAATATGTGAATACAGAAACACAAACACAGCAATTCTTAAAAACAGGCACATTTTTGTGGCTGTGTGTATATTTGAAAAGCACCATTGTGTGGCTAGTCAGTTCTTTAGTGGAAATGTTATGAATGCACTGCAATGTTGGCATGTCCTTAATAACTTGCAATTTGAATGTGTAACTATTTTCCAAACAAAATCTATAAAATATTTTGAAAAGGATTCCAATGCAGGATGTCATTCTGCAGAAGTATAAAATCTCCAAGAATGAGTCAGGACATACATATACCTACAGACGCAAACATTTATTTTATTGGGCTCAATGTTGAAATAATTCAAGTGGAAGATATAAGCTGTATTTTGCCATTTCTGTTACTGGCATGCCAGTAATTTCTTCATCATCGTCCAAGTGGTCCAGTTGGACTGCAAAATCAGCAAAATTATCAAAGATTTCATAGGTTTTTAGAAGGTTTGAGGTAAAAGGCTTTGATTCAAATGTGTATTTGCTTTGGAACAGTAAAAATGTTACCGCACATATAGATTTGAAACCGGAGCTTTTCTTATTGGGAATCCTACCAGATGTTTACAGTAAAGATTTGAAATATTTGATTGTAAATGTATTAACTGCGGCTAGGATTGTATTTGCAAAAAATTGGAAAAATGAGAAAATTCCATTGCAGGAAGAAATTATTAAGAAAATATTGGAATGTGCTGAGATGAGTAGATTGACATTTGAAATTAGAGAGCAAGAAGATAAACAATTTTATACAATTTGGGACCTTTTCTATCAATGGTTGGACGATGAAATACAAAAATAGAATATTTAGAATGTTAGGTAATAAGGAATATTATTGACTTTTCTTTCTTTTTTTTTTTGCTATTTGACATTACATTTATAAAGTGTTGTTTTTTTTAAGGATAGAATTGGTATGTTTATATGATTTGTTATAGAATAAATTACTTAAATTATAGTTATCTCATAAGGCATGAATGAATAAAAGTATAGTCAAATGATTTTTTTTTAATAAATGATATGAGGATATATAAGTTTGGATTGATAATAAGAGTTATTATGTAACATAATTGTAATTGAGACTACGAAATGAATGCACAAAACTGATGAACCAACCGACACACTGTTTGTATATAAGTGTGGAAGAGAGCTGATGCTTTTATGTTTTGTTTGTTTGTTAAAAAACCAATAAAATTGTTTAAAAAAAAATGTTACCGTGATAGATGAAGTCCTGTACCAAACGTTGTAAGTCAGGTCATATATATCACTCATTGGGCGGTTTTCTGACTCTCCAGGAGAAGCGATGAAAACTTTAATTGAATCCTTACTGGCACTGACTGAAACATTTGGTGGGCCCATTTTAGCTTTAAAATAATTTCATATTTATTAAATATTTAACATACCTCATATTGGAAGCTAAAACTCTAAAACTAAAAGAAAATTTCAAAACATTTTTTTTAAAAATACACTTTTTAACAGCCTCTGCCTGTAGGATAGTTGTATAATTCTAATTACATCCTTTTGAATATAACTGAAGATTGCCAGGAACAATTCATAGTGAAATACTGCTAACACATTTCCATTCACTTCAGAGGGATTCTGATATTCCAGGCAATTGAGAAACCATTTTCAAACTGGAGTGGGTTCGTATTCATTCAGTCTTATTGTTCTGCCTGGTCTTTGTGTCCAATTGAGTTGCTAGGTAGAGTGTAAGGGACTATATGATTTTTCTTTCAAAATGGAAAGTATGAGTCAATCATTTTGTATGAAGGTTTTTAAGGGAATGGGCACTTCAGGGTCTGTAAGCAACCTAAGCATCCAACCACATTTTTTTCCTTTTAAGTCTTCAGGAAATGTCATCCTCATTTACTATGCTTATTAGGAGGAGCTCAAATAAGTTATTTAAGGCCACAGGCTGCCCATCCTGCATATTAGTTAAGGAGAGTTTATACTTTAAAAAAACAAAAACCTCTGGTATAATATAAAGCTATTTTGTGCTTTATAAGTAAGCTTTCAAGAAGTATGTTTCTGTATGCATACACAAACATACACATTACTTACAAGCTACACTACAGACATTTTGATGAACAATATTATTTGTGTATTATTCATAAACAACAACAGAATGGATGTAAATAGTGAAACTTACTTTGGTCTATAGGTTTAAATTCTAAGGTTTTAGACCAAGGTGACTTATTATGATTATGTACTGCTTGCACACGGAGATAAAAAATTCCACTGGAGCCAATGACAGATGAGAGATTACAAAATGTAGTTTGAATATTTTCACATTTAGATACATTTTCCCAGTCCTTAGAAATATCTGGAGAATGACGGGCTTTGTAACCACTGTAGGAATAGAAAGTTAATTGAATGAAATATATACTTATCAGCACAAATATATTCCAGCTCTAACCAAAGAGTAATTCAATCTTTCTGTCTTTGGCAGTGAAAGACAGTGAAATATGTTAAACTGTCATATGTGTAGATAATCTCTGTTATCAATTAAACACACTTCGGCCCCACCAATGATGATACTTCATTGTCATCATTCTTATGGCAGCACATGTACATATGCACCCCCTACTAATCTTCAAACATTTCAGCATGCAGACATACACAAAGCTTCAAAACAATAAAAATAGTAGAAATGAGATGCAATATGAAAATAAGAAATACATAATAAGGATTCTTACTGAAGCAACTGTACTATGAAGCTCACATTTCCATCATATAGATCGTCCCAACGTAAGAGATGCTTCATATTCAAGCTATCCATTTGAAGATTTTGAAGACGAAGTAGTCCAATCCAAACTAAAAGGAGAAAAAAAATAATTTGAAATAGTTTTTAAAAACTACATACAAATCTCTAATCCAATTAAACAGGAAGCAAGAGTTGTGTCGGCCTCTTACATTACAGTAAACCATGTTAAAGGCAGATTCTCCAATATTAGCAAATTCCTGTTCTCATCAGATTTCTACAAGAAACCCTTTTTCAGAAGTTGACATTTTTGCTCGATTTACTAAACTTCTTCACTAGTTTTTGAGAAGAAAATAAATACCGTAAATCAGGGGTCTCCAAGCTTGGCAACTTTAAGACTTGTGGACTTCAACTCCCAGAATTCTTCAGCCAGCTATGCTGGCTGGAAAATTCTGGGAGTTGAAGTCCACAAATCTTAAAGTTGCCAAGTTTGGAAACCTCTGCGTAAATAGTATATACTCTTCAATAGCCATCTAGCTCCTATTAAGAAAGACATTACTAGAGTGCTGCTGAGTTTCTACTTTCTTGGCTTAATAAAATATACCACAGTTACCAACTGCCCTATCCTTTTGTCAGGCCTTAAGGGACACTCCTTAAGGTATCCACTTTAATAGCTGTATTAGAGAATTCTCCAAGAAAGATTGGAAGAAAGGGATATAGGTAAAATAATCAGAGTAACTCCTTTCCCATATCTTGATTACAGTAGAATAGAGGGAAGAAAACATGATTCTAAATGCCATATTATTGTAAATAAAATGCTATGATTTTTTTTAAGTGGGTTTCAAGGGATTTCCATGCTTAAAATGAACACAGAAATACATACCTTTAGAAGTCTGAATACAATGCATGGGACTGTAAAAAGAAATGTGATCTTCCATATGTGCTTTAACTTTCAAACAATAAGTAGTTTCTGGTTCAAGATCATAAATGATTTCACCTGGAAAAATAGATTGTGTTTTTTCCTAGACACAATTGAATTTATTGTTAGTTATCATTATTGTAGTAATTGTATTACTATTATTGTAATACTATAACAATGTTGACAATAATTGTTGCAGAAAGTTAAAATTAGATGTGTTATTGGCTTAACGTGGGTAAGCTGATATCTTAAAGTTGTCAAACTTGAAAAATACAGATGTAGAAAAATCAAATTCAGAAAATAGCTTCACCCCTCCCCAAATGCATATAGAATGACAATGAGGTTCTGTTTGTTGTTCTTTCCTTCTCTGTAGTGAAGATGTTCTTACTAGATCTTTTTGTGGATTTGACAAAGGCACAGTTGGGATAGCTTTGTGTTTGGAGTACTTGATATGTTTTTGTTTTGTTTTCCCTCTTTGCTTGTGGGCGAACTTTCAGCTTGGTGATGTAAGGTTCTGTTTACTCCCAGTGTGTGCTTGCTCCAGTGGGTGGTGGGAGTCAAAAGATAAATACTGATCTCTGTGGGTGGGTTTCTTATATGCACTGCACAGTCAGAAAGGCCTGGCTTTGTCCCTTAACATCCCCTGGTGTGAACTTAATGTTGCTTTCCACACATTGATGTTTTTACTTTACTTCCTATGTTTTAACTTTGACCCAAGTATCCTTAATGTATCTATACCAATGAGTGGATGGAATTCCTGTGAAAGAAGGAAAAGTCCTTTGATTCTACTTCTTCCATGTAGACATTGGCCACGATGGGAGACAACAGGCAAGCTCATAGCTCAGCAGTGCTTTTCTCTATAATTTTTTTTGTGTGTATTTGAAATAGAATGGTGGTCCAGCATAATACATATACAGTCTGGGCTAAAGTTGGTTCTGTCACCTAACGTGTTGTCTTATAGTAGTTTCCTCACCCCTTTGACTACTTCAGTTGTGGGAATGCAGGTGAAAAGTGACATCATAAGAAACCACTGTTTCATCAGGGTTCAGTTCCTGAACCTTGCTGACAATGTCCTATGAGTTATTGGTGTAATGGGTGATGCTGTCAACCAGAGGAGCTGATAAGGTGGCCAAATGTTTTGCAATGTTGTAAGTGTCTGAGTTGATGCTGCTGACAATTGGCCTGAATGGAGTTCCTTCTTTCTGTATTTTGGGGAGTCCATATATGCATGGAGCAGCTTCCTCAGGGCAAAGGCAGTATTTTGACTTGTCAATGTCACTGTCCTTCAGTAGTTGTTGCAGGCAATCCATAAATTATAAGTGTTGGCAGGATCTCTCTTCAAAGCCTAATACTTAGCAGTATCCTTTAGTAAACTATCCACCTTGACTTTGTAGTCATTTCTGTTCAGAACTACTATGCATCTTTCTTTATCAGCTGGCAAGATGATGACACTCAGGTCTCTTCTTAGGGATGTCACTGCTTACTTTTCTTGAATTGTGAGGTTGGAAGGGAATGTTTTGGCACCGATGAGAGCAGTTAATATCTGATCTATCTTCCAAGTAGAATTCCCATATTATTCATAGCAAAGCAGCCACCCCAATGCAGAAGTGTTTACTGTTTCTCATATCAAAATGCCATCTGCCACTGCAGGGCAAAAGCGATGTACATATTTTGTACTTTCCCTTGTGGAAAAATCAAAGGTATGGGGAGAGGAAACTGGGCAATTCTGAACAGAAACACAGCAGAGAACTAATTTTCACTTTTCTGCTCAAACATCTTTTACTACTTCAATAAAAATATGAACTGGGAAGGAACTTTGATTACAGGTAAACATAACCAATTGTTTTTTTTTAATATAGCAAGCATGATATAAATTTGAGTGCACAAAAATAATGAAAACTCAAATATTTATGAAGTTATGAAGATCCAAGCAGTCTTATTGGTTAAAACTCATCCCAGATCATCCCACTAGACTGAGTCTCATGCAACTTGGCTGGACTTGCCCAGTTGGAGTCCAAGTCGTAGTGGATCTGAGAGACTTTATCTGGCAGACAGCCAGAATATTCCTTCCAGCAGCCCTGCACATTGTCCTGTGGTTTGTCCCTGTCCAATAGGGCAGTCTAGATGGCAACTGGGGCTTTGGTTGAACAATCCACTAGATACCCAGAATCTCTCTGGAATCCCGCTGGGTCTAGCAGTTGTCTGGGTGAGGCTCTATCTCCCCAAAGGGGAAGAAGCACCAATGTTCTGCAAGACTAGAGTGATCTGTCCATGGTAATGTCCTCCTCTACCTCATCAACGGGCCCTGAGGAGGGAAAAACTGATTTAATGTGCAACTCTAATTTGTATTATGCCACCATGATACAAATGATTTGGGATAGATTCATGCTAACCACAGAAGCCATGAGCTCCTGCATGGCTACAAACTCTATGCCACCAGCTGGCAGATTTCGCTAGGAAAGAATCAAGGAAGAAATATACATGCTGAATATTTAAGTTATTTCAGACCTAATTCTCATAGGTAACTTAAGAAAGTTGTCAAGCACAATGTAGCTCTATTGAAACTCCACATTTGTATACTAAAATAAAAAGCTATTCTGGGATCCTTGGGGCTCACTGAGCCTGATGATTTTCTTGCAGATATTTTATTATTAAACTAGGTAACATCATTAATCCTAGAAGGGAGTAACATTTGCTCTTATTTTTATATACTAAAAATGTCCCAGAATTCAAGATAACTTTTGAGCAAATAGCTAAGTACACTTTAGAAAAAACTGTATTTCTGAAAGAAATGTAGAAACCCATTTCATGTACACTTCTATCATAATGGTTTCTATGCACACACACATACATAAAGATCTCAGCAAATATTAATCATATAAGAAGCAAACATGTTACCTTAGAATGGGTTGCATTTTTCCAGATAGTTAGCTGATATTTTAACGTGTCTTGCTTCCACATTTTTTTTTGATCTGCCTCAGGATGTAAAATATTGATTTTGACATCTCCATATATTGATTCAAACCACACTCCTGGAGGACCCACTTGAGCTATAGATGAAAATATCAGCAGAAAAGATTAATAGTGCTCACTGTGAATAATTTATACATTGTACTAAACCATAGTCCTAGGATAGAAGAGGGTGGGATACCTAGTGTCATCCATACTGGCATCAAGATGCATTATTTCCTAAATTTTATTAACTTGTTTGTGGTTAGGTCCAAAGGGTCATTGGTCTTACTATTGTGTCCCATTCCTCCCCATCCCTATCAGTATCCTTGCCAGAGTTTCTCAGCCCATCTACTAAGGTTGTAGAATTCCCCAAACTGATGTTGGATGTCTACAACTTGCATTCACTAGAACAGCCCAGGAATTAATGATTACCAGGACAACCATAGACCTGCCTCTTAACTCACCATTCCCTTGGCTGTATCTCTTTGCCCTGTCTCCTAAGATCAGGGATGTCAAATTCGCAGCCCACAGGCTGAATGCATCATGTGCTGGCCATGCCCATGCCCGGTTTAGCAAAGAGGGAAAAAAGTCATGATACATCAGGTAACGCCGTGAGTTTGACAACCCTGCCCAAGATCATTCCTACAATACAATACCCTTTGGTGACCACATAATTTCTGCAGCTGCATTGGTTGCTGATTGGTTTGCAAAAGCTGTCAATTATCTTTAAGGCCCTATATAGCTCTGGACTAGGTTATATGTAGAATTGCTTCTTCCCATATTAATTTGCCTATCTAATCAGGTTGAATATGGTCCATACTCTCCAGATCCTATCTATACAAGAAATCCATCTGACTGATGGATATCAAAACTGATAAAACTGATATTTTGATTATTGCTCTCATACCCTAATTGCCTCCTGACAGAGATCCTTCTTTCCCATCCTGATTTAAACAGCAATCAAGACCATGCCACTAAGCATAGGAAGACAAACGTTGTAACAGAAGATTTTAACTGGGTAGACAGGTGTTTGTGTATATTTGTTGCATAATTCTGAATCTGTATATGGGTTATTTTAGAGGTAGGTTTTTTAAAGGCATTTTAAGGCATCTTCTTACTCTGCGAAGCATTAAAACAAAAATAAAGTAAGATGAAATAGTTTATTTACAGCATAGTGGAATGCCAAAGGTAAAAATTATTATGAATTAGTCCACAAATCATGGTTAAAAAAATGGCATGATATAATGTGTGAACCCAACCATAGGTACTGTCTCCAGTTCAGCAGACTGAAACATAAATATAATTAAAACAAATGACAACTAAATATTTATTGTAGCTTTTTAAATCAAAACTTTGTAACACCTTTGCTTAGAAGCAGTACCTATATCTTGGTCCAAGATGAGAGCAGCAACAATTGCCATACCTTATTCCCTGTCCTTGCATAGTTCCTCTTGCTGACCTGCTCCTCCACTTTTCAACAAATAGAATGATTCATTGTGCTTAATAGTAGCTAAAGAAAGTAGGATGGGACTGGGGTCAGTGACAATATCAAGCTTCATTGGCAATAGCCAAGAATTATCACTGAGTTCTCCTTTATTTAATTTCTACCTGAGCATATTGGATAGCTTTACCTGGTTCTCCATAAATTTCCTCTTTATTCCATGAAACAGTTAGGAAATTAAAAAGCAAGTTAATTATTTAAAAGGCAGCAATCAAGACTTTAGAACCCAATGACCAAGAAGGGTCTAGGAAAAAATAGGTTGCCCATGGCCGCCTCAAGTGGTTCGAGTAGGTCCCAAATAAGAAAGACAGCTGGTAGAAAAAAGAAAACTGCTTTGGAATATGGCACCTGGCAATCCTACTCAATGGTTACCATTGTGGACAATCAGCCATTTCTTATCCACAAGGCACAAAGAAAAATGTATTTTTTAAAAAAAGGGAATGATCAAAGTTGTCCTGTTTTGGGTTTCAATCTCAAACCCATTCAGTTCCTAGGTGAAAATAGCAATCCCCTCAAGGCTGAACAGATAATGGCAAGCAAGGCAAGGAATGTAAATCAAAACAGAGTCCCTTGGAAAGCTTCACTTTCAGTAGGAACATACAGAAGGGAAGCCAAATCCATTGTGAAGTTCAGAGAGTCAAGGCAGGTTTGTCAGCTATTCTAAAAACCAGGAGACACCATAGCAAGAGATCTGACGGTTGTTTCCAGGAGAGAAACATGTATCAGCGATATTTCTTCAATCAAGCTTCAGCCAGCTGCCTTTAATCAAGAGGTTTACTCCCTTGCTCAGCAGGGAACTTCATTGAGGGTCTTTGCTCCATTCTTTGCTCTACTCACTAAGTCCAAGGGCTTGAAGGTTGTCCAACCTTATCTGACTGCTCCAGCTGGTCCAGTGGTATCTGTACTTGATCAGCCTCGTGTGATTCCTGCCTTGGGGCCCCTGAGGCTGACATTCCAGTGGTTCAGCTGGAGCAGTTTCTTCAGAGTCTGAATCCCGGGGCCATGACAAAAGTAAGATGGAAGAAGAACTAGTCTGAACCTCCATAAAATCCAGAAGCTTGCTAGTTGTAAAAAAAAAAGTGCTAATTAAATGTGTTGTCAACTAACACCATGTGGTCAGAAATATCAAAGTCTAAAAAAAAGAAGAAGGTTCAAATTCTATTCAACCATGAAGGGTTGAGGTAGTTTGGGATCATCCACTTCTGGGCAAGAACTCAATTTCACCTTAAAAAGAGGTGTCTTTAATCATTCCATCATTGCAGATTTCAATAGAAGCCCTTCACTGAAAAAAGGATATAGAACTACTCTTTCTGTTCACACATCATGCTAAACTATAGATTGTTTTAACTATGTTTTACTGAACAATATTCATAATGAGTGTTGGTCTCTTTCATAATGGATGTTAAAACAAATGGATCCCATAATGAGTCTGGAAATCCCTCTAATTGTACTGCAGACTTCTGATACAAAGGTCCAAAGTTTGCAGTGCCACTTCTTATCATTGTGAGACAGTGAATATATAAAAATGGCAGCAGATACTCTAACACTGCATTTTAATAAAGTCAAACATACAATATAACCCTGCCTCCAACTTTCTTTCAGAATGGAGCACGGACAATAGAGTCCACCACTTCATAATCTCCTTGTATATATTTTCCATGAAAAGTTAAATGTAATCCCAAGACACTGACAGGCTTCTTAGTCCTGTTCTACATATTACTTATTTTTATATGTAAATATAACTGCCAACTTTAATTCGAGAGCATGAAGTACTCCAGCCTTTGTTATTATGAGCCACGGTGGTGCAATGGTTAGAGTGCAATACTTCAGGCTACTTCTGCTGCCTGCCGGCTGCCTGCAATTTGGCAGTTCAAATCTCACCAGGTTCAAGGTTGACTCAGCCTTCCATCCTTCCAAGGTTGGTAAAATGAAGACCCAAATTGTTGGGGGCAACATACTGGCTCTGTAAACCACTTAGAGAGGGGCTGTAAAGCACTCTGAAGCGGTATATAAGTCGAAGTGCTATTGCTATTTTGTAAATTCTCTAACATTAAAGTCAAATAACATGAGCCAAAACAAATATTAGCAGAGTGCACTGTGAGTGTACATTGGGAGACATTCCTTCTGTCTCACTTTCCCTCTGATGTTAGCCCAAGAAGGAAGAAATATGGAAGTTTATAGCTATACTTTTAAGAAATTAAGAAAACAGCAATAGCACATTTCTTGCAGAAAGAGGAACTGTCATTTCGAATGCAGGGTAGACAGAAGGAAAGAGCCTGCATCTTTTGTGACATTATTTTTTAAATGAAAGATTAAGAGATAATCACAGAGCTCTTGGGAAATGTCTGTGTATCAAGAAAAAAGAGAATTTGGCATGAAAGGAAGGTGGCTAATGTAAAATTGAAAAATGATAAGTTGGAAAGAGTGAGTTTTCTAGCCTTAAGAGATAATGAGTAAAAAGGGAAGGGTTACCACCAGTAGTAAAAAAAGATAAGAAATGAATAGGAGAAAGAACTTATCTGTCCAAAAGTAAGCTGTCTAATAAACACATGAATGGGGGATAATGAGTAGCTGCCAAAGAAAAAGGTATAATCTCCTCTTTCCCTTCTCTGTCTTCCCAAGAAAGATAAAAAGTTTCCATTCTGAAAGCATCTCTTGAAAATTCTGAAGTTCTACTGTATAATGGTGGAACAAGAAGAAAGGACAATCTTCTCTAATAAATGGAAAATTCTTTAATAACTCCAATAGAAACCCATGGCAACTTAAAGCCTGATCATTATGTAGCAATAGAAAGACACATACTTTCAGCTAGGTCCAACTCCTAATAACCCCACGGAAACCCATTTCGGGTCTCTGATTACAGAGCAAAAGAGAATTGCTATTGCCTTAATTCCTTAAAAGATTTCTCTGTGTTTTCACCAGAAACAAAAGGAAAGGGAATGTTTCAAATGCTTGTAAGAAAACACATTTTATTATGTGAAGGCCCAACACGTATTAGAAAATTCTTTTATGAGGAGCATTACAAAACAAAACTTCACAATTTGAATTTTCACACAATAAATCTATTTTCCTACTGGCACTCTGCTATGAGGAAGGAAGTCACGCCCTCTTCTCCAAGTACGAATGAGGTGTGACATATCTTCTTCTAGATTCAAGCTTCTAAATTCAAGCAAAATCACTAAGATGCTGTTATTGCCTGTTGACACAACTAAAATAAAGATGTACATTTAATTACCAACTTTGTTTTCTAATGTGAGTAAACAAGGCAAAGGATTCATACCTTCTATATAAGGAGTAAATTCTAAAAAGGCATAAGGAGAGTGATTTTTCAGAGTGTTCGCTCTTATAGCCACTTTATAAGATGCCAAATAATCTGAAATTGTTGACGAGAGATCACATTCTGTGATAGTTATATTCTGACATTGAGGAATAGCTGCCCAGATTTCAGAGCGTCTGGAAGAACTGAAAAAAGAAAGCAAAAGGTCTTGGACACATTTTCAGATAAAATGCTAGGAACCAGTCATTCATGAAAAAACAAAAGAATGAGTGTTATTACGCCTACGTTGGAAGCTTTATTTATTTATTAAACTTACATATTACCCATATCATCAACAGAGGTTCTAGGTAGCTTACAATCACTTAATAAAATGCCAGTATGAAATATTAAAATAATAAATAGTAAGATTAAGTTTGAATTAAAATTGACAAATACAGAGAGTAAAGGAGCAAGAGGCACATGGGGAGGAGGTGGGGTCTTGTCTTAATCCATTAAACACCTCCATACCCCTATTAGGGCCCCAGGGTATTGGCAGAGCCGGGTCGAAAGGCCAAAAGGATGGATATGCAACTCACCCCAGGGGATGAGGGGACAGGGCACTGTATTCCGGAGGGGAGGAGCCAGGGCAGAAAAAGCTCCTGGACTCTGCCAGCTGGAATTCCGTGACCGATGGAAAATTATGGAAATATCCCATATCCTTTGCAGTACTCTATCTTGCCCCATATATTAAAAATATACTTTACTAGCTTGATACCTGTGCTTCGCTACAAAACTATGTGGTCAAGCTTAGTTTTGGGGGAGGAAAATAAGGGAAAAAAAATTCTGCCTCTGCCTTCCAGCATTCATCAGTATTCATCTGGCTTGTGTCCTGTGTGTGAGAGAGTTGAGGGCTGTTTGGAAACTGAAAAAATACTTGCTGTGTGAACAAGGAGACAGCAAGGAGCCTGGGCATGGCTTAGCACAACTATACTGTACTAAAGCTTCTTGGTGCTCTGAAACTGAAACTCCTCTTCTTGTGTTTTGCATTTGGAACAGATTTCTTTTCAGATGGGGAGGGGGAGTAGAACTCCTTAACATCAGAGTGTGTTAATAATAATATACGAAATGCTAATGCTCTGATGGTCACTTCAAAAAATCCTTTCTTAGTGAGCACCTAGAAGCCAAGAGGAACATACACGCCAAATTTCAAGTTTGTAGGCTTTATGGTTCTGGAGATTTTGCGATGATGTGTGAGTGGTATTTTGCTTTTATATATAGAGAGAAGATTTTTAAAAAAACCAGATAAACCTGCCTTGAAAGCATCAAGAACATATCTACATCTACAGTGTTGTTCATTACTATTCCTGCTTTAAAATAACAGAAACTTTATATGCTGTATCTGCCTAATTTTAACTGAAATAGAATTCTGTTCAAGAGTGTTGCAAAACAGGATAAAATGTATACTTACCTGGGGTATTGTACTGAAAATGTTACATTGAGCCCACAAGGATTATCCCAATCCCATTTCAGCGTAATATTTGCATTAATAACACTGGTGGTAACGTTTTGTGGGGGTTCCAAACATGTTAAACCTGTGAATATTTTAGAAAAGAACATAGTAAAAGTAAAAAATGAGCAGCTTAAAATATTATGGGATTTCTGAATTTAGACTGATAAAAGTCCTTGCTCATAACACACCAGATATAATTGGTTGAAAAGAAGAAAGTGTGGATAAATACTAGGGTAATAGTAGAATACAAGACAAAGAATTGGAGAAGATCACGAAGTATCAAGATCTGAAAAATGAAACTGAAAGATTATGGCATAAACTGGCAGTGGTGGTCCTAGTAGTTATTGGCACAGTGGGTTCATACCAGAAAATCTTGGAGCAAAAAACCTGTGCCTTGACAAAGTTGCCAGCTGTCAATTACACAAAGCCATACTGCTTGAATCCACATATGTATTTGAGAGGAGAATAGTCAATTATTGTTATCTTTCCCACCTCAGATTCACCCAAAGTAGCCAAATCTCCTACACCTATCTCCAACCCTCTAGGCCAGGGGTCCCCAACCACTGGACCATGGACCAGTATTGGACCACAGCCTGCCAGAAACTGGGTCAGGCAAATAAGCAAAGCCCTATTCACAGGATGCAGGCAGCACATGAAACCACGCCCCCTCTGGTCTGTGATAAAACATCTCTCCACGGAACCGGTGCTTGGTGTTCAAGAGGTTGTGGGGGCACTGTTCTAGGCCCCACACCTCTGGTGATCTTAGAAAAAGATGTGTTTGGTCTACTTCATAGACAAACGACAGGAAAAGCCCCAGACCCTAATAGAGTAATTCCTTTTTTCTTGAAAAGTTGTGCTGAACAACTGGCCCCATCTTCACCCGCATCTTTAATCACTGGAGATGTGCTATGTCCTTTCTTGTTTGAAATGCTCTACTATCATCCCAGTTCCCGAGACATCCTCCAATCAAGGAGAATGAATGCCTACAGACTGGTTGTTCTGACATCTGTAGTTATCAAGAACTTTGAGAAGTTAATGCTCACCCACCTGAAAATCATTATGGAACAACTGTTAGATCCCTTGCAGTCTGTCTACTGAACAAATACCAGTAGATTGGCAGATGATGCTCTAAATATGGCACTGCACGACACTTTGCAACATCTTGAATCCCCAGGGACCTTTGCATGGGTCCTTTTCATAGACTTCAGCTTGACATTCAATATCATCATTCCAGAAATTTTTCACTTCACACTGATTCTGCTAACTGTACCTGTCCATACTTTTAGGTGGATTATTAGCTTTTTGACAGATACAAAGCAACAGGTGAAGCTAGGAAAAATCACATTGAGCACCTGGTTGATTAACACAGGTGTCCCGTAGGCTATGTATTCTCTACACTGCTCTTCTTTCTCTACACCAATGACTCCATCCCAAAAGATCTCTCTGTTAAAGCATTGAACTTTGCAGGTGATGCAACAATAATTGGTCTCATTTGAGCTGGTGATGAATCTGCATATAGACAGGAAGTTGAACAACTGGCCCTGTGGTACAGCTGGAACAATCTGGAGAAATGAGTGTGGATTTTAGGAAGACACCACTTACTATATTTGACAGCACAGTATCAGAAATAGAAGTATTCTTGGGTTCTATAATCTTCCAGAATTTGAAATAGACACCTAACATTTGAATCATCATTAAAAAGACAGAACTAAGAATGTTCTTCCTGTGTCAATTTAGGAAGTTTAGACTGCTCCATGAGCTGTTGATAGTTCTACAGAGGAATTATTGAGTCTGTCATTTATACTTTGATAACTGTCTGGTTTGGTACAGCAATTAAATAGGACAGGCACAGGCTCCAACAGATAGTTAGAACTGCAGAAAGAACAACTGCAATCAGCCTGCCAGCCATTGAAGACCTGTATATTGTATGGGTCAGAAAGAAGCTGAGAAAGTATCTACAAATCCCTCACAATATAAATTGTTTCAACTCCTCCTCTCAGGATGCTATTTTATGCCAAAACAACTAGACACAGGGATAGTTTTTCCCCCCATGCCATCATTCTGCTGAATACCTAATTCTCACAATATTATTCTATGTCAATTTACCCTTATTATGTGGTTATAGTATTATTTTTATCCTTCTCATCTTTTCTACTATCCCAGTTGATTCACTGATTCATTTAGCAAATGCAGTAAAAATGTAAAAAATCAATCTGACTCATTTTATGACAGTTTTGATTTACCATCCTAATGGTACAGCCTCCATTAGGTTGTACCTCAAGGACTACCTGTATATTATAATAATAATAATAATAATAATAATAATAATAATAATAATAATAATAATAATAAT